CATGCCTTGATAGTTATTGCCTACACTCAAGTATGTGTCCTTTGATCTTACCGCCCTCTGATGGTTCCTTTTATCTCCTTTTCTTACTCCTTCCGCCTTCACGCTTAGGTCAATTCATCTGCGGTGCCCTCAGCTGCTATGAGACGGCTTTTCTGCGCAGTTGGGAGGTCAATTTCGCGTACAGGGAACGCGACGGAACTCGACGGAATGCCTTAGTGAAGTTGCGTCTCTGTCCGGCCTGTTCCGCCAAACTAAACTACCATAAGCAGTGAGTAGGCTATGCAATCTTCTCTCGCCTTTTATTATTTGCATACGGTTATTTTAACGAATTTTCTTTAGTCTGACTGAGAGGTGCTGGGATTTCAACCATGAGAATCGCCGCGGGGCTGTGACGGACACAGTCAGAAGCCGAACCCTATGATACCAGTTTGTGTCTAGCTCGCCCCCCAAGCGAAAGTATTTACCACCGTTAACTGTCCTCGAGATTATTCCAGCTCCCTTTTTTCCACATATTGGGTCAATCCTCTACTGAGGATAATTTATTTAGAAGCGAATATGCGGGTTCCAGGAAGCAGTTCAGACGTAGAAGATGCGATCACTGGAACAAAAAATTATTTGCTTGACGTTTCAGATTCTGCCGAGAATCCTTAATCATAGGTAACCGTAGAATAGTGTGAGATATGCACAAATTGTGCGGTATCTATAGTTCGTAGCGGCCACCCGCGTGCGCATTGTAGTTATCAGCTCCTCTGCCCACCGTTGGGGGTCGTAATTGGTGCGGTGATGGCTTGGCAGTTCGCTTTCGAGTCATTCATTACCGCAATTTCGTTGTCTCTGTTGGATGCAAGCTTGATAATTGCGCGACACTTACGTTAGCCGTCGTCGGAGTTGTTGCTGTGGCCGCTCCGGCCCTTCCCACGTCACCGATTCTCCTGCGGAAGGCCGAAATCCTTGCAAGAAGTGACCGTCGCGTGAGCCGCGAGCCTCTCGAGTCATGGTTCTCAGGCCCCCAGTCCATCAACAAGCACAACGAATTGCCGTTCCCATACTCCGTACTGGGATATTGTCTGAGCAGGAGAATCAGTCACGTGGAAATGGCCGGGCCTAGCACTTTAGGTCAATTATCTACTAAGGATACTTTATATGTCCGAAATTATGTGCCATGACAACTACCGCTCTGTGAGACAATTGTGACCCGCGCTTGATCAGAAGTGTTATGAGAAGAGTTTGCGCGCTGTTGCCCTCACCCTATCTTATCAATACAACCCTGGT